CACGAAATCTGGACTCTCGCGGTGTTGCCATTTTATTCTCAGCATGGCTATGTATTAAAGTAGGCTGTAATAGTAGCAATGCCGTTCATATTATTTATAAATTGGAGAATGTCACATACGAGGTACAGACGTATCACTTTACTATCTACTTAATACGCATGAGGTGCATGTGTCTTCGTACGAATTGGAATATTCCTTCCTGGAAAGATTGACGGTCTCATTAGTCGCCAGGAATTCGAAGATACGTGAATCCGTCTTGATTCCTTATTTTCTTTTTCTTCTCAAATCTTTTGTGAATAAATTCAGTTCTTTTTTCATATCAAATTGAGAAATAAGTACTTTCCCATTTTTACGACGAATTTGCATTATAGTATGATCATTTTCTTCACGCGCGGTATGTAAGTACTTCTTTCATATCTATCTATCTTTATTGATCACGTTGTACTTTTTCTTTATCTTTATCTACTTGTGAGATCTCCACTGGCAATTGTAGGTGGTAAGGAACGAGTAGTGCCGTGGACATTTAACCGAGGGTAGGGTACAGTAGCTCTGTTGCAACGTCGCCTAATTTATGACGCCTTCAAGTGTGTCCGCAGGCACTTTTCCTACTCGTAACTCGCCTCTGGCCTCGCAATGATTTTGTTCAACGAGCATTTTCGACATTTAGGAATTTCGATTCCCTTATGTCTTGTACTATGTAAATATTAAGCCTATTTACGAGAAAGATTGATGTATCAATTATTAAAAAACTAAATATCTATAGTCTCGTTCCGTCGTGTCGTTTTTAAAAACATGAGAGGCTCGTCGATCTAAAAAAATTTAATTTCGGTAGTTCAAAGAAATATGCATTCAAAAATAATGACTTTGGCCATGCATTGAATCAGACCTTTAAATTCGAGGTCGACTCTTTTGACCGTTTGACCGTCGATGCTCGACGAACTACGTTTACCTCACATCTGTTCGGTCACTTCGTCAAACGGTGCTTGAATTCATTAAAAGAAAAATGCCACCTTCCTATGTACATGTGAATTTTAGTTATAAATCTCAAATTCCACTAAATAGGCATTACAATGTTAAAAAAAATTCATATTTACGGATATATGTGGATTGCTCCAACTTATTATTTGATATAGAGCGTTCCTTATACTATAAAACAAAAGCGTAGTAGAAAAAAGCCCGCCACTATTTGATGTCTGAAGAATTATTAAAATAATACCAGCTTGTACCACTTTTATGTAAAATATACATATTAATATTCCCATTGAAATTTAGGGTGTATACATATTTGAATAAGCAAACAAATTTTAAGAATAGGATATTGAATAGTAAAAATTATTTATATTTTGCGAATAAAATATTTAAATAGAACAGGACGGGATTGGGATACTCGGTGAACTTCTCATGGATTTGACTCTTATCGAAGGAAGCCGCCTTTGCTCGGATGACGAAAAGTGATGTGTTCACTTAGCTGTCCCTCTCGAATAATGGCATCCGCCATGCACGTCTTACTAATTGTGCCCGTGTTGGATCTTTATCTGTTCCGGAGGTTTCGGAACAAAGCAGGTCAAAAAAACGATATGAAAAACATGCGAGAAGAATAGTGTAATGCCACAGTAAAAAATTTCAATTTCGGGGTGAGCAAAATCAGCTTCCTCCGATAGCAGACGGCAAAAAAATTATATGAAACAGAATGCAATTAATTGTTATAA